GTAGGGAAAACTTGAACTCGAGTTTTAGTCTCAAACTTGAGTTCAAACTTAAAAGAACATAAACTCGAATAAAATTGTAATTCAAATTACCTTTTTTTGAGTTTTTCACTCAAAACAATAAGCCCGAAAACTTTGAACAGTACATATGTGAGGGGAGCTATAGTAAACCAACTGTGATTTCTAATATTGTTATAGAATAGATATAGACTAGTTGCAGTCATGTGATTCGCACGTGTAGTTTTTTAAATATTGAATAGTGTTTGTTTCGAGAATCATTTGAGTTTTTTAATTCATTTTTAAAAATACATTTTTTTTAATACATGACAAATTATATGAAAAAACATGAATTTTTTTTAAACGTGATACGGCCATGATGTTGAAAATAAATAAAATATAATTAGTAGAAGTGATATATTTAAAAAAAAAAAAAAAAGCAACATACGCTACCGTTATGCTAACAAGGAAAAGCATGAAAAAGAACCAATTCCCAATCAAGCTAAGAAAATTCAACATATAAAGAACAGAGAAATGCGATCTATCTTATATCTCAAAAACAAAATACACTTACACAAAAATCAAAGATCAACAATAAAGGGAAGACCAAGAACTAACGAGCATATCGCAGGGAAGTTGACTTGTTTGCCTTAGTGTTAATGATTAGAAAATGAATATCCCTACATTAGAAGTAGTAGGGCAAATGAACATGTACATCATGGGGCAAAAAATCAAAATCGTTGAGATTAATTACAAAAATTTCCCCCAACTTATACCCCTATAGTAGTGCAAATGAACATGTACATCAGGGGGTAAAAAATTAAAATAGTTGGGATTAGTTACAGATATTTTCTCTGAATTATACCACTTGTAACACTTTACTTACTGATCTTTCAAAAATAACATCCCGTCCCACAGAAGAATAAAATGTTAACAAGAAAGCCCCCTCTGTTAAATTTTTAATAGAAATTGAAGTTTAGTAAGTTATTTTAGGGGTATTCTAGGGGTTGTTCGGCAGCTCCATTTTTGAGTTAAAAACTCAAAAAAAGCAACTTGAGTTACAATTTTATTCGAGTTCATGTTCTTTTAAGTTTGAACTCAAGTTTGGGACTAAGACTCGAGTTCAAGTTTCCCCTTCAACTCGAGTTCAAAAACTCAAACTCAAGTTAATGAACAATATTTTTTCTATTCTTAAAAATGCTATAACTTTTTCATTTTAATTCTGATTGAGATGATTTTTTTTCTATGCGTTGACAATGAAAAGATGAATAAAACCTCACCCATATACCTTATTAAAATTTTCCATCAGCATTGAGTTTTTATTAAAATATTATCTAAATACAAATTCAAGTTTTGACTCACTTAAACACAAACTCAAAATGATTCTTATCTCAAACTATAACTCAAATGTACACAACCAAACACAAACTCAAGTTACAACTTCAACTTAAGTTATAACTCAAACTCAACTCAAATCTACACTCAAGTCACCTAACTCAAAAACGGTAAAAGAATAGCCCCCTAGTAACTCTGGTTTTAAATTTTGATTCGAATTTAAAACTAATTTCACTTTGAACTTTTAATTACGAAACATCCATCATTAATTGAATATAAGTTAAAAAATTTTTGAATTTTTTTATTTATAAAATAAAAAATGTATGGAGTTGTTTTGAACATTTTTTTAGGTTAAAAATAGCAAATGTAAAAATAAAAAACCATTCTTTTAAGGAAAAAAAAGGAACTATGCCTGTCATGTGAGTGCGTGGGTAAAGTAGTAATTGTGCTCTAAATTGTTTAACAAATTATATTTATGTGACAAGTGTAAAAAACTGTTAACTCCACCTATACGGTAATTCGTATAGCCGGTCCTAAGCCCAGGTAAAGGAGGAAGGTTGCGGTAGGTTGACAGACAGCGTAAAAATGTCACTCTACATGGACTTCTCATTTACAGACTCTGTTGGGGCGTTCCCTACGTGTGACGCGCTATGCCAGGCCCCGGGTATAGTATTAAATAGGCAATGGGGTCCTTGCACATTCATGGACGTGTGTGGGCTAGCCCATGCGCCATGTCGGGCCCCATATATGGTGAAAAATATGCAACATGGGGTCCTTGCACATTCATGGACGTGTGTAGAGGGCAAAGCTAGCCCTTGATAGGAAAATTCATCTAGACAGTTGGAATGTATGTTCTTTAACCAATAAATCTATGGAATTAATAGATTTTATGCTGAGAAGAAGAATTAACATCTTATGCTTACAAGAAACTAAGTGGACAGGGGAGAAGGCAAAAGAGATTGGAAACCTAGGACATAAGTTATAGTACACAGGTTGGGAAAGGAATCACAATGGAGTTGGCATTCTAGTGGACAAAACTTTGAAAGATGAAGTGATTGAGATTAGGCGATTAGGTGATAGAATTATTATGATCAAATTAGTGTTAGGGGAGAAGTTCATTTATGTAATTAGTGCTTATGCTCTACAAGTAGGATTGGATGAGGAAACTAAAACCAGGGAAGACATGGATGACTTGGTGCGTAGTATAGGTAATGAGGGTAGCATTTTTATTGGAGGAGATTTGAATGGACATGTTGGTAAGGATAGAGAAAACTTCGAGAGGATTCACGGTGGTTTTGGTTTTGGGGCTCGGAACGAAGAAGGGAAATCTATTTTGGAATTTGCATTGAGACACGACTTTGGTATAACCAACACATTCTTTAAGAAAAGAAATTCACATATAATCACTTTTAAGAATGAGAGGAACTCGAGCCAGATAAATTATTCTCACAAGGTACAGAGATCGTTCTCTCTGTAAGGATTGTAAAGTAATTCCTGAAAAAGCGTTAGCCACCCAACATAGGTTAGTAACCCTAGATGTAAGCATTAGGCTTTACCATAGAAGGACTAAGATAAATCACCTCCCACGAACTCATTGGTGGCATTTAAAGGGAATAAAGAAATTGGCTTTTAAGGAGAAGTTGTTAAAGGAGGTTGTTTGGTCATGCGAAGGTGATGCAAATACTATGTGGGACACCATTGCGAGTTGCATTCGAAAAGTGGCAAAGGAGGTACTAGGAGTATCTAGAGGTATAGTTCCTCCGGGAAAGGAAACCTGGTGGTGGAGTGAGGAAGTTCAAAATGCTACTAGGACTAAGAGAGATTTATATAGAGAGCTACTAAAGTGTAAGGATGATGAGACTTTTATTAAGTATAAAGAAGAGAATAGGGAAGCTAAGAGAGTAGTTAGTAAGGATCGTGCTATTTATTTGGATGAGGTGTATAAGAAACTTAGGACTAGAGAAGGAGAGAAGGAGATCTATAAACTAGCTCGGATAAGAGAAAGGAAGTGTCGGGACCTAAATCAAGTGAGATGTGTTAAGGATGATACGGATCAGGTTCTGATGAAGGATGAAGATATTAGGGAGAGGTGGAAGAGTTACTTTGAGAAACTTTATAATGAAAATCATGCAATAGGGTTTGGCGATCTTAGGTACCAAGGCGAACCAAATGTGATGTATACAAGAGGCATCCAAGTTTCAAAAATTAAAACAGCATTACGAGATATGAAAATAGGGAAGGCATGTGGGCCAGATGATATCCCAATAGAGGTTTGAAAGGTGTTAGGAGGGGTTTGAATTAAGTGGCTCACTAAGTTTTTTAACAAGATACTAAAGAAGACGCATATGCCTGATGCTTGGAGAAAAAGTATTCTCGTTCCCATCTTCAAGAATAAAGGAGATGCGCCAAATTGGGGCATAAAGCTGATAAGTCACACTATGAAACTTTGGGAGAGAGTTATTGAAAAGAGATTAAGGGTCACAACTGCCATTTCAAGTAACCAATTTGGGTTCATGCCAGGTAGATCAACCATGGAGGAGACTATATTTCTTCTGAGGATGCAGATTTAAAGGTATAGAATAGCTAAGAAAGATTTGCATATGGTCTTCATAGATTTAGAAAATGCATATGATCGAGTACCGAGAGAAGTGTTATGGTGGGTACTAGAGAAGAGAAGAGTGCATATGAGGTATATCAAGGTAATAAAGGATATGTACGATAGAGTTGTCGCAAGTGTGAGAACTACTGGAGGCTAAGAATGATTTGCATATGGTCTTCATAGATTTTGAAAATGCATATGATAAGGTACCGAGAGAAGTGTTATGGTGGGTACTAGATAAGAGAGGAATGCATATGAGGTATATGAAGGTAATAAAGGATATGTACGATAGAGCTGTCGCAAGTGTGAAAATTACTAGAGGCTACACGGAAGAGTTTCCCATTCGGATTGGCCTTCATCAAGGTTCCGCTCTTAGTTCTTATCTTTTCACTATCGTGATGGACGAGCTGACAAGAGAAATTCAAGATGAGATTCCCTAGTGTATGCTTTTTGCAGACTGTATAGTTTTAATTGATGAATATCGGGAGGGCATTAACCGTAAGTTAGAACTATGGAGGTAGACCATTAAGACGAAGGAATTTAAGTTAAGAAGAACGAAGACTGAGTACAAGCATTGTAGGTTTAGTAATTTGATAGATCAGAGTGATGGAATTTTTTTGGATGGTGTGGCGA